AAGTAAGCACAATAAGAAAATGACATCCCTCCGATTCTATTTTTTATTTTTTAAAGTGCGACAGTGTAAATCATTTCTCACAAGTGCAGACAAGACAAAACAGTGAATAATGAATAACAACAACATAAGACAAAACATTGCAATGTAGTTTTATAAATGGTTACCTCATTAGACAGTTAAATGTATTAAACTATAACAAACATCTTAAGCAAAATGTCTTTCTACCTCAAATACCTCCTGCCCCTGCTGGGCTGCCTCGGTGCTGCAACTGAGGCTACACTTCAAGGTTGAGAAGGGAGGGACATGTTGTCAGATTGAGGACAACATTCACCAGGAGAGTTTTCTTGACTAATAGAATGCATTCTGGGGGTTGGAGCTTAGACTTTCCCACTTTCAATTTTTAAGGACCACCCACATTTTAATTAAAATTAGAGCAAAGTTCTCTTGAATAAAAAACGTATTGCGATGAATTTTTTATGTTATTTCAACTGCGAAATGAGTCGGAGGGAATAAAACATTCAGAGGGAATCAAATATTTGTTTTAACACAATCTGTACCAATCAAGTATTTATTTGTTATCATATATGTAGAATACTGTGTTCAAATATTTGGATATATTTAGCTTTTACCAAATATTTCGCCCTCTGGGATTTGGATATTGCACTATATTGTGACTTGGATACAATTTGGATGAATGATGTAGCCCTATTAACAGAGCAGGGCAACATGAAAACAGTTTTTTGTTGGAGCTCTTCATCGGTGCACTAACAGCCTCCCAAAACTTGAAATGATGCCGTTTATTACTCCTCAATGAAAGTAACAGTCAATGGAACAGCTTGGAGTTCTACATCACACAATAAGCAGCCAGAGATCTGAACCCTGGGTGTGTGGGGCTTTGGGCTGTGGGTGAAAAACTGTGCAAGCGTCCTGTTTTGGGCAGGATTCCATTCAGCCTGTGTGTTTCATCATGTCCATCAGAGCGCAGCGTATGTGAACTGTCCTGCGCCGCGCTGACTTCTCCCTGCGTGTCCGATCAGACCTTTGTTACTTTTCTGTTTGCTCTCTTTCGGCCTTTTTGTCCTCTGTCCCCCAGTGTCCATCAACAAATGAGATGTTCTCACACCCAAAATGAAAAAAGAAAATCCCAGAGCATAACTCTTCCTGAAAAAGAGCAGGCAGGAGAGGGAACAGAGAGGGAGTCCCTGCCATCTTTTCACTGGGATGGCCATGTCTAATTGTGTCACAGTGATAAATGAATAGGTTTTTTGTCGAGGGGTCAGGAACCTCCCTTGGATCAGAGGCCCATCAAAGTGAATGGTCTATTTTTTCTGTTCGCTCGCCCCCACCCCCTGAATGGATATTCAAATGAGTATTCACTAAACAGATAGCTGGATACACTGCCCCTCTTCACAGAAACAACACTCGTTCTAATGCCGCATTTGTTATTCTAGGCATTATCTACGGGTTCATAGCAACCAAAGGGAGCTATGAAAGGAACAAATAAATCAAAATGTGTGGTTTGTTTGAGTAAATGCTTTATGAAGTCAGTGTAAATCATTGTCCAGCTCTTATCAACTAATCCTTCTTTACAGTCATGACTTTTGTTTTCTGTGGAAGAACATGGGAGTGTCTGAAGGCTAAAATGCTCTCTGTAGTAAGAAACATCCGTACAATAAAACAATACAAATGTGAATGAAGATCAAAACAGAAAACATTCAGTCAATACAAGTATATTGTAGGTAGTAAACAGAATGGAAGAGTGTAAAAGAAGGACTCTGATTTTATACTAGCCACGGGATTGTTATCATTAGTCAGTCTTTTATTTATCCTGAGGAAATAAGGTTTGGTGACAGTTGCACCATTTTAGAGTTAAACAAATACAAATGTATACAAACAAAATGTGGTAGATCATAGAAATCATAGAGACTGAAATGAAACAACAAACAAGTTCAGTGTACCCCACAGGCATAATGTGGTGATGCATAATGACACATGTAACATGGTGACATTATCTGATCAGTCAAATGAATTACTAATATACACCTTCCTTCCTCCCTTCCTTTTTTAAATGTCCCGTTTCTAAATATTTAAAAATCTGAATATATACCTCGCCTTCTTTTGACTGCCCGCTTTGATTGGATGATGCTGCCTTGCATTGCAGCCAAATCAGCCCTTTGCTCAGTCCAAACATGGCCTTATACCCTCATACTGCATGTACCAGGCCACAGACACACAGATAAACACACTTCCATTTCATAGATTGGCCTGGGATTTCACCACGTGTAAGAATCACTCTTTCTTTCCTTGTGCTTTCACTTAAGAAAAGCCTGTTATCATCCAAATGCTGGCATCATTTCCCTGCTATACCCCGCACCGCACTAAGCATACTGTATTCATGTATCTATTTGTACTGTCTCAAAACGTCCAGCAGAATTCCTCCCATTTCTAAATCTCTGGAATGGCACGCTGAAGAATGCACACACACACACACACACACACACACACACACACACCCTCACAGGGGCTGCAGATGACTGTAGTGTGTCTAAAATAAAAGCGTGTGTCTATTTCAGTCGACGCCAGTCCAGTAATAGCACAGGCGGTGAGGAGGAGGGCTGGACACAAGTTCTAATTGCAGCCTTGTCAATTGCAGCTCTCACTTTCGGCTCGTAGAAACATGCATACTCACAGCCACACACACACACACACACACACACACACACACACACACACACACACACACACACACACACACACACACCAACACACACACACACACACACACACACACACACACACACACAGCGGGGGGTTTGTTGGCAGAAGTGCCAGTATCAGTTTTCAGCGGTCTAGTAATAGATGCCTTGTGACCAATATACACATGCACACACACAAACACACACACTCATCTGTTACTGACAATGGTAATGGCAATTTGACAAAATATTGTAAATTACTTTTATTATGGGACTTTTACGTAGCAGCTTTTGTTCTGTCCAGGTTTCCTTCTGCGTTATGATCTGAGATCAGTTGATAGAGTTTGTTTAATAAATGACACCTGGAGACATGCCGAGGCTGTCTGTCCTCCTCCTGTCCTGCTAATGACAGCCATAAAGAAGTGTTTTTGATTGTTAAAGAGCTGACTATATTTATATATACTTTTATATAACTCTATAAAGTGGAAGATGACATGGTACCTACTCATCAGGAACATGAAAAGTTTGGTTGAAAGGAGCAATGTCCTTGCATTTTGCTGACTTGCAGTGTGTACAAAAAATGTCTTGTAAAGTAGGGAAATTGTTCTCTTGATGTTCTGGTCAATCTGGAAAGTTGTTCACCAGCCAAAGGTTAAGAGAGGTGTGACACACAGCAGCAATAAAGTGCAAACCATGGCAGGACCCTACAGCTACATTTGTATTCATAGGTTGGACCAACGTTCTGCCCTTCAGCTGTCTGAGCACCTTGTGTGGCACTGTTCCAACAGCATTCATCAATCATATTTCATTGGATCTAAGTCAAGTTTTCAACTGCTTCAATAGGGACAGGATGTTTGCCAATCAGCTTCTATTGTGCAGAAAGTATAACTGAAAGTATACTGTATACTGAATCATATATAGTATGTGCCCTTTTTAAGTATAGTAGTAGGCTAAACAAGTTAAAAAGGCTATAATATTATTGAATTAACGTATTCATGCGAGGGTAGAGCTGAGTCTTGCATCGGGTCGGGTACCGCAAAAAAAGTGATTCGCGGGTGGTATTTTTGTTCCGGGTTCGGTTCTGGGTAAAACAAAGAAGATGCGGGTCGGGTCGCGGGTGTTGCATAATACATATATTACAAATCATTTAATTTAATGTTTAAATCCTCAGACCTCTCTCCCGCGGGACCGCGCATAATCATAACCTCTGCAGCGCATCAATCTGCTGCTGAGCGCGCCACATTCAAAATGGCTGAGGTGAAGCTCGGAGAATACAGCATTGTCAATCTCTCTTCCTCAAGAGCGAAATCCAACGGCTGGGAGGCTTTTGGTGTCATCCTATATGGAGAAAATAACCAACATCCCACGCTTTTTGAGCCGCAACTGCGTGTGTTAATAATTGCATGTGTTCACTGCTTATGATATGCGGGTTCGGGTCGGTTTGCGGATCTTGTGCCGACGGGTCGGTTTGCGGAACTAATTGGCAATATGTGCGGGTTCGGTATTGCACGTCGCGGGCGGGAGCGGGTCTTGAAAATCAGACCCGTGCAGGACTCTGGGGTAGAGTCTCTCCTGGTGTCCTTTCCTTTTCTCCTTCTGGAAGGAGACTAGGAAAGGAATTTAGGATGTACAGAATAGAAATGATAATGTATGTTTGCTTCACTTTTTAGTGACCCCTTGAAACATTTTTCTAAATGCTACTCGTCAATCTGAGCTCTCTCGGTCATAAAAGTCCCTCTCGGTCGACACACCGGTGAAGATGAACTTTTAGCTGGTTTTCACATAGGCCATTCTTGGCAGAGAAAGAAATATGTTATTGGTCAAATGAATGGAATTCCCCTTTCTGCTGAAAATCACTCCTCAGCTCGTGTTTCCATTTTGGTCACATTTGGACACATACCTTCCTGTGGATATTCCTGTTTTCTGATTTCTACCTCACCAGTCAATATTTCTCTCCATCCTGTTTCCTCCTGCACTTCTCTTTCACAGTCTCTGTATCATATGTGCACTTTATTACTCTCTGGATGGAAAGGTCTCCTCCCCGGAGGTCAAAGGTCAAGTCAGCCACAGAATAGCAACCATTGAGCTGGTAGATTAGGTTTACTGCTCAAGGACAATTCAGTAAAGTTGTCACCACAGTCTTTGGGACATTAGAGGACCTGTTTTTTTCCTTACAATTGTTCAAATCAAATCATAATCTCTCATAGCTGTCTTTAAGAATGTAAGAGTGTAAGAATGAGTATAAATATGAACTCTATCCTTGAGAAAAGTCTCCTAAAGTTTTCTCTTTCTGTTGCTTCTCAGGTGATCAATGTGGACGGCAGTAACAGACATATTCTGCTGGAGGACAAGCTGCCTCACATCTTTGGTTTTACTCTGCTGGGCGACTACATCTACTGGACTGACTGGCAGAGGCGCAGCATCGAGAGGGTGCACAAAGTCACGGCTGTGCGGGAGATCATCATCGATCAGCTGCCAGACTTAATGGGCCTGAAGGCCACTAAAGTGACGGAGACATATGGTAAGGAGGACAGGTTTCAGACTGAAAATAAGAGTAGAAACGGAATGAAATAGTTGTTAAAACGTTCCCTTCTTAAATGCAGGTACGAATGGCTGTGCGGAGGATAACGGCGGGTGCAGCCACCTGTGTTTCTGGTGTCGGCAGGCGGTCAACTGTGCCTGTCCCATGGGGATGGAGCTGCTGTCGGACCTGCAGACCTGCGTGGTGCCGGAGGCCTTCTTGCTCTTCACCAACAGGTACGCCTACCCGTCAGCCTGCAGTGGAGCTGAACAGATCAGCTTGCTGTTGTACTGTTCCTGCTAAATGAGCCATTCAAGTTGGCCATATACATAACAAAATATGTGTGAAAACTAGGGATTCACATCAGCCAAACATTGGCCGATGTTAGCCCTATTTTTAAATTGACATGCGCCATTGTGAGCAGCCGATGTTAATCTGTTTTTCTGGGCCATCTGACTTTTTAAAGCATTCCCAGTTTAAGTCATTCACAACACATCTCCTCCATCCTCTCTTTGAGGCGATCTCGCTATAACCTTATAGCAAGGTTTTTCTGGAGTGTTAAATAAAATCCAACTTTCAGAGGGTTGTGCCCATTTCTGATCATTTCCCTGAGAAAAATGTTTTGTAATTTCAAAGATTTTATGAAGTGGCGCTGCTGTTTCAGTCTGCAGATTAGCAGCAGAGTGCAGAAGTCTTTGCCAACAAGTTTGTCTATTCGAGGCAGACAAACAAAATCTACCTTTGTCAAATGTATTTGTTAATATTTGACGATGCCTAATGGGTAAAAGGGGCATCCGCATTGACTGCAGGGAAACAAAATCTCTCATCCACTTTGTGTGTGTTGACATAAAAAGTGAGCCCACAGGCTGTTTATATTTATACTCCATGCCCTTATAAATGCATATAAAAACATTCCATATTTGTAATATAGGCTATCTAATTGAGTAAGTAATTGACCACAAAAGGTTTGGGGAAATGTGTGCTCATTTAAGGTTAGTGTGATGAAGGGCTGAAAGAGAGTTTATATTTTGTATTTGTTTTCATGTTAAAAAAGTGGAATCATTTGGAAACAAATAAACAGAAAAACATTGGCTGAGAAATGTGTAACTGGAGCATCCCTATTAAAAATCAAATAACAATGTCAAGGGTGGGGACAACACCGAACAACATAGTTTGACTACCATTGGCATCTCCCTCTCAATCTCTTCTTATTTGTATTATCTCACACTGACACCGGCCCTGGTCTGGTGCTTTCCACTCATACTTGTCTTGTTCTGTGCCAGCAGTTGTGATTATTACAACTTGTCTACACAGGCACATGTGTTTTTCTGTTGTTCCTCTAATGCACATCGATGTCCAAACCAAAACACCCCTTCTTTAGTAATCCAGTATCCATTTACACCCATTTGTTATCAGCTTTAATTTGACTTGCACCAATACATGTCTAGACTTGTGTTTTATGCACCTGACTGTTAGGGCGGCACGATTTTGAAAATATAACTAATTGCGTTTACTCCATATTGCAATTAAGATACAATTTGTATTATTGTGCCTGTGTGAAGCAGCTCTACTAACAGCATGCTTACATGGGTACATGTTGAAGAATATTGAAGCTACACTTTTGTTTTTGTGTCTTTAATTCCTTCATTGTATAAATCTTGCCTTGGTTTCAAATCTATTTTTTTCTGAATCTCAAAACTGTTTTAGTTTGGAATTCTTAGCACGCCTCTGTCGTTTAGTCGAGGTCTTTGGCATTCAAATTGCCAAATGTTTTTTTTTTCAGGGACAACATCAGGAGTATCTCTTTGGGTACTAACAGCAACGACGTGGCCATCCCTCTGACGGGAGTGAAAGAGGCCTCTGCTCTGGACTTTGATGTCTCTGAGAGGAGAATCTACTGGACGGACATACAGGCCAAGGTGAGCGGGAGAAACGTGAAGTTTAGGTTTAACACAAATACTGTTTGATTTACGAGATTGTATTAAAAATGAATAGCGTTGTATAATGTATTTGTTAAGTATTATAGTCAGAACACATGTTATGTTTGTTGTTTACTTTCCATTCTTCAATTAAACAGTTGATTATTTGGAACTTTGTTAATTAATCACGTACTCCGTTCTCTTCCTCTCAGACTATCAGCAGAGCGTACATGAATGGCAGCTCTGTCGAACATGTCATAGAGTTCGGGCTGGATTACCCAGAAGGCATGGCGGTTGACTGGATGGGTCGTAACATCTACTGGGCTGACACTGGCACTAACCGCATCGAGGTGGCCCGGCTGGACGGACAGTATCGGCAGGTTCTGGTCTGTAAGGACCTGGATAACCCGCGCTCGCTGGACAACCCTCGCTCCCTCGCCCTGGACCCAGCCAACGGGTAGGAACACAACCATCATGTGTAAAAGCTGCTCCACATATGAGTGGGATTTAATGGAAATTCTACAGCCTGAGCACTTGGCGTCCCTTATATCTTTTTTCTTTTCAATATTAATAAAAGCATATGAGCACACATGCAGCATGTCTACATAAATACATCATTACAATAAGGTTACATGGGCAACAGAATTATTGAGATAAAGTCATTTGAAACCTAACAACAGATTACCAACTCAGTAGAAGTAATCTAAAATTTTTTTTAAAAAAACATCTAAATAAAAAAGATAATTATCTAAGAATAATAAAGAAACAATTAAAATAAAGACTAAAAAAAGGAAAATATTGCTAATTCAAAGCTGTCGTTTAAAAATGTCCGCTAAAGTAGCACTCTCATATTTCCTGGTATGGTGTTACAAAGTTTGGGAGCCGATTCCCCAATTCTTTTTTCAGGGACTTATAGAATCAGTCGAAAAGAGAATTAGTGAGAGAAGAAGGTGCCACACCAATTAAGAGCTTTGTATACAGATAGAATGATTTTAGATGAATTCTACAAGAAACAGGAGGCCAGTGCAGTGTAGCTCATAAGGGAGAAATGCGCTCTCTTTTTCTTGTTTTTGTTAAGCCTAACTGTGGAGTCCTGAATTAGCTGTAGTTTATTTGTTCCAAGTCATGCAAAAAGAGCATTAAAGCAGTCTAACCTACTGGACATCCACACATGAATGTTTACTTCCATTACATGCGAGTGTATGAGATGGAGTTTATTGCAAACAAAATCTGCAGCTCAGCAGTTTATCTCTAGCAGTGTGTGGAGGTGAGTCACTGCGAGACACCTGTTTGATGCTGGAGGTCCGGGTCAAGGCTGCGGTGCCAAACAATGACTTCATGTAGCGTGTCTCCTCACTCTGTGTGAGGGAGTGAGAGTGGAGCCATGTCACACTGTTGGTATGTAGGTACACCAGCCATAGTCCCTCCCTCCCTCCCCCTTCACCTCCAGCTGAGAGAGGGAGGACGCTCTTATAGCTGTTTGTTGATCTCTGTTCATCCCTGGCCAAAACACCCCAAGACACACTGTGTGTGTGTGTGTGTGTGTGTGTGTGTGTGTGTGTGTGTGTGTGTGTGTGTGTGTGTGTGTGTGTGTGTGTGTGTGTGTGTGTGTGTGTGTGTGTGTGTGTGTGTGTGTGTGTGTGTGTGTGTGTGTGTGTGTGTGTGTGTGTGTGTGTGTGTGTGTGTGTGTGTGTGTGTGTGTGTGTGTGTGTGTGTGTGTGTGTGTGTGTGTGTGTGTGTGTGTGTGTGTGTGTGTGTGTGTGTGTGTGTGTGTGTGTGTGTGTGTGTGGTGTGTGTGAGCGGTAAGTCCTGTGCCAGCGTGTTAAATTCACCGGTGGTATCTTAATGATGTCACGGCACAGAGCTGTCAACACTCGTGCCTGGAGGCGTCCGATGTCATTTTATGACCACATACCATGCTCACTCATTAATAAAGACAACAAAGATGTGTTCTTACACAGAACTTAACCAAACAAAAGATACAAAGTGGAAACCGGTTCAACTCCTGCTTTAGATGATCCAATAAATATTGTAACGGATACAAATCAGAATCAAAATCAAGTTTATTGCCAGGTACGTTTAAACATACAATTTGCTTTGGTGTATTATGGTGTAAAAAGTTGTGAGAGTAGGTCAAGAATATAACAATAATAAAAATAAAGTATTTTTAAGAAACTATTTAGCATTAAAAAAAAAAGACTATAGACAAGTATATACACCTAATTTAAATATACAAAATAAACAAAAAAACTTAGGATAATGAATATATGACAGAGTACAGTGTATTATATTTTAAAGTGGAGGGCTGTTGTTGCGCACATATTTTCTATATAATATGTCTATTTTATTTATATGTATAGTAAGTCTTTATATTTTAAACGCACACTTTATCTTTAATTTGATCAGCACCACGTCGCTATTATTTATTTATATGTACAATTTTAGAAAGTTTTTATATTGTCCTGCTCCTGTAAGCCAGTACAATGAAATTTGGTTTTAATAGTACACTCTGTGTCTTGTTGAAATGACAATAAAGTATGTCTAAGTCTAGTCTGTGCAGACATGTGCAAAATATATTCAGAGAGCTGAGCATGAACAACCCAGTATTGGAAAGAAGAACCACAATAACTTTGATGATAAATAGCTTGTGCGTGTGTCCCATGCTGAACCAGTTTTGTCTCTGCAGCTTCATGTACTGGACGGAGTGGGGGGGTCGGCCTCGGATAGCCAGAGCCTACATGGACGGCAGCACCATCACAACTCTGGTGGATAAAGTGGGCCGGGCCAACGGGCTCACCATCGACTATGTGGACCATCGACTGTACTGGACCGACCTCGACACATGCATGATCGAAAGCACCAACATGCAAGGTGTGGACACACACACACACACAGACACACACACACACATACACACACACCCTCACACACACATACACACACACCCTCACACACACACACACACACACACACACACACACACACACACACACACACATACACACACACCTCTGCCTCATGACCTCACTCTAGATTTTTGTGTCAGCTTGTCACTAAAAACAATTGACACAAAGAAATGTTCTTCTCAAGAAGATTTGTTGCAATGTTGTTAGTTACACTCTATGTGCACCAACAGTACGACCTTCAACTTCTGTTGAGCTGAGAACTTCCTGATACTGCCTCCCTAACTTCCAGAATTCTCCTTTCATAATCGCTAAGCTTTAAGCCCACGTCACACTGTCCCGAAATTGACACCAGATGGACACACGAATATGGAATTGTGAATTTCGCACGAAGATGGCCCCGAACTTGGTCAACAGCCAAGCAACAGCCGAAGCAAGTACGATGCCTACCGAAGGCCACACGATGGCACCCGAACCACACACAAAAATATGGTCGTAGACTTTACTGATGATTTAGAATGTATCCAGACTCAATGTAAGAGCTTGTGCCTCTTCGGGGGGTGCTAACATTTTCTAACATTCTTTACTTTCTCCGTCTTTATATGTAGATTAGAAGATATTACTTATCTCCTTCATGTTGTTTCCATAGCAACAACAACTTCCTGTCAACAGCGTAAACTCGCCTTCAAAATAAAATCATCTAAATAAAACAGGAAGTTAACCTAAATTATATTTAAGACATACAACTGCAACGAAAGTAACAAAAACAATGTAATATCCTTTTCAGTTTCACAGAACACAAATTGGGTTATTTGCATAATATGTTTACATGATTTTGTTGTGCAATAAATGCAATCTCGATGTCATCGTACTATAATACGATGGCTACACGATGGCATTGCGAGGGCTTCACGTAGTCGTGTTGCCTTCCTAAGACAATCGGGCAGCTTCTTGTTTCCTTCGTATTGTCTTCGTGAGGCGAAAAATGCCCGATGGCACCGATGATCACACGAAGTAAAGACGAAGATGACACGATTTGACAAGATGCCCTCACGCTGGCCTTACGAAGGGCAAAATGGACACACAAATTCAACACGAAAATTAACCTTCGGCAATTTTTTGGCATGCCAAAGATTTTGCCACCGCTCACGAAGTTGCTGAGAAACTCCACCGGCGGTCATACGATGGCTTAAGATGCCCTCACGAATAGCCCAATGTTGTTACAATCAGAGCCGAATTTGAACATTTCCTTTATCGTGTGTCCATCTGGTGTCAATTTCGGGACAGTGTGACAGGAGCTTAACCGCCCTTTTCTCCTGTCTGCGTTTAAATATGCAACGCAAACTCTACTCCTCGTCTTTCACTCTGCTGACTGTATGCTCTCTGTAGGACTGACTGAACTTTCTTGCAAGAAATAAAATACCTCAAGGAATGGTTTAATTGTTTTATCCACATAGCGGTGGTGACATGCAGTGATGCGAACATGATGTAGTTAGTTTTTAGCCTAACAAAATCGCTTTACTTCTGAAGATAACATTTACGCTTCAATTATCACACAACTATGTTAAAATGTAGAGATTATCCTGCTAAACAAAACATGTTCAGCGGTTTAATGACTGAAAACTGCAGTCATTAAACCGCTCTTAAAAAAGAATAATCTAGATGCTTCAGTAATGAACAATTACAGGCCCATATCAAACCTCCCATTTTTAGGTAAAATCATTGAAAAAGTTGTTTTTCAACAGAAACCTGCAGGTCCGCTGCAACTCGTCTCTTACTACTTTTAAATCCAGGCTAAAGACTTTTATTTTTGCCGCTGCTTTTAACAATTGTGCACATGGTTTAGGTGTCCGGGACCCTAAGAAGTGTTAAAAATAGGAGTCAGGAGGACCCTATCGAAGTGTTAAAAATATGAGTCGGGGACCCTATCGAAGTGTTCAAAATAGGAGTCAGGGGGACCCTATCGAAGTGTTCAAAATATGAGTCAGGGGGACCCTATTGAAGTGTTAAAAATAGGAGTCAGGGGGACCCTATCAAAGTGTTCAAAATATGAGTCGGGGACCCTATCGAAGTATTCAAAATATGAGTCGGGGACCCTATCGAAGTGTTCAAAATATGAGTCGGGGAGACCCTATTGAGGTGTTAAAAATAGGAGTCAGGGGGACCCTATCAAAGTGTTAAAAATAGGAGTCAGGGGGACCCTATCAAAGTGTTAAAAATAGGAGTCAGGGGGACCCTATTGAAGTGTTAAAAATAGGAGTCAGGGGGACCCTATCAAAGTGTTAAAAATAGGAGTCTGGGACCCTATCGAATTGTTAAAAATAGGAGTCAGGGGGACCCTATCGAAGTGTTAAAAATAGGAGTCGGGGACCCTATCGAAGTGTTAAAAATAGGAGTCAGGGACCCTATCGAAGTGTTAAAAATAGGAGTCGGGGACCCTATCGAAGTGTTAAAAATAGGAGTCAGGGGGACCCTATTGAAGTGTTAAAAATAGGAGTCAGGGGGACCCTATCAAAGTGTTAAAAATAGGAGTCTGGGACCCTATCGAAGTGTTAAAAATAGGAGTCAGGGGGACCCTATCGAAGTGTTAAAAATAGGAGTTGGGGACCCTATCGAAGTGTTAAAAATAGGAGTCAGGGACCCTATCGAAGTGTTAAAAATAGGAGTCAGGGACCCTATCGAAGTGTTAAAAATAGGAGTCAGGGACCCTATCGAAGTGTTAAAAATAGGAGTCAGGGACCCTATCGAAGTGTTAAAAATAGGAGTCAGGGGGACCCTATCGAAGTGTTAAAAATAGGAGTCAGGGACCCTATCGAAGTGTTAAAAATAGGAGTCAGGGACCCTATCGGAAAGGAGAAAAACGAAGAATAGGGCAAGAAATTAGTGTAAAGAGCAAAGGATCATATTTTAAACTGCACTGTAACTTTTATTCATGCATTTTTTTCTTTTAATGTTTATTTTATTATCTTTGCTTTTTAATGACTGTTTTTAAATGCCATTTTCTGAATGTCTTTAATTTTTGTAAAGCACTTTGAATTGCCTTGTGTTGAAAGGTGCTATATAAATAAACTTCCCTTGCCTTGCCTTACCACTGATATTATTTTCTGCCATAATAATCCAATAAATCCCATTGTTTTTTGACGAGGTAACTCAGTTAAACATGGTTTAGCTGCGTGTAATGTTGTACACACAAATAAACTACGTGTACGTGTATACCAATCTCTAAGGATGATGTAAGTGTTGCTTGATGTTTTGATATTGAAGAGCAGGTGTAATCATGTTGTGGTATGTTGTGCAGGGCTTCAGAGGGAGATCATCGTGGACGATCTGCCTCACCCCTTCGGCCTCACCCAGTACCGGGACTTTATCTACTGGACCGATTTTAACCTGCGCAGTATCGAGCGGGCAGACAAACGCAGTGGACTCAACCGCACTGTGGTGCTGCAGGTATTAGCTTAAATATGTCTTTTACCATTATTTGCTGATTACGTGCTCTTTCAAAAATTTTATTTAAAATCTGGGGGACACACTTGAACAGTTGGGTTGTTAATTTTATATGAGGGGAATGTTTTTGCTGGAAAAGTACTTTAGTATTATATGATCATAGAATATTATATTATCCTGTTTTTTATCACTAACAAACACATGGAAGATCTTTTTGATTTAGTAATGTGTTAATGAGGAGCCAATTTTAGTAGTAGTATTTATATATTAGTAGTACAGTTCTGTAATTAGTAGTTTCAGTGTTAACAAATGTAATGGACTAAAAAGTATAATATTTGCTTCCAAAATGTTGTGGAGTCAAATTATAGAACATAACATTGAAATACTCAAATAAGATACAATTATGTCTAAATAGTACTTAAGTATGGTACTTGAGTAAATGTACCTTGTTACTTCCCACCACTATATTTAAGGCATTCACGGTTGTTCCCTCACTGTCCTCAGGGCCAGCTGGAGCTGATGCTGGACATCCTGGTGTTCCACTCCTCCCGTCAGGAGGGCACCAACGAGTGTTCCCATAACAACGGTAACTGTGCCCATCTCTGCCTGGCCACGCCCGCTGGGGCCCAGTGCCGCTGCGCCTCCCACTACACTCTGAACCCTGACGGACGGAACTGCAGCTGTAAGTAAAGACGAGAGAAACTCAAGCATGTTTTCTGTCTGTAAATACGGGAAAGAAACATCCCCTCCTTTAATAAGTCTACTCCAAGTGTCAGTTGAAATGGTCAGTAAAATACAGAACTGCTGTTCTCAAACTAAATCTGTGATTCAAATAATTGCAGAGAGTTTGCAACAGAAATAAAATACTAGGTTAAGTAAATAACCTCAGTTGCCTCTTGCCAAACAGCTGGCGAACACTATGCAAAGGTCAACACACACATTGCATTACATTTGATTTAGTTTATGCTTTTATCCAAAGTGACCGGATACAATTTTAAACAAGAAAAAATCCTAAGTACATTAGCTTTAAATAAGGCAAATTATTGTTGGTGCTTCTGCGTTGGCTTCAACTGAGCCAAACCTTTCTAAGTGTAAAATATAAGCATAAGTGAAAATTTTATATATGTATTTATTTTATGCCAAGAAGCAGCTGAAACAAGTGTTTTTTCAGTCTGAAGCAGAAGATTTGCAGACTTTCAGCTTTCCCGATCTCAGTCTCACACACACACCAAGCCACAAAAATGTATAAAACATACACACATACCTCATTCACACCAACGGTGTTTCAGGGCTGGTTCGGAGCTGGAGCTTGAAAAGCACCGGGTTTTCCTGTTCACACCGCAGCGGAGCAGCCTCTTAGCTCCGGAATCCGGTTAATTTCGAGCACCAAAAAATTGTCCGGCCAGAGCAAAAGCACCACATGCGTCACGCTTACGTCGAGGCGGGGGCGGGGGCGGGATCAACTCCTGAACAACAACAAAAAGCCTGCGTTTTATCCAGTTTGTACACAACGATGGAGAAACGTAACAAGCAGCAGTGGTCCACTGAAGAGACCAGCTACCTACTGGGAATCTGGTCTTCTGAAGAGGTACAGAGGAAGCTGGAGCACAATCGGCCATTGTTGTTGTTGTCGGTGTGAGCTGTGAGGGGTTTCGCGCGGTTTGGCTTTATGAAGCAGGCACGCAAACGGTTACGTCATGACGCAAACGATGACGCAATGACGCAGCACCAGTCGGACTCTGGGCAGTGTGAAAAGAGCCGGAGTTAAACCGAAGAACCGGTTCTGAACCTGAAAAGCTCTAGCACGGAGCTTGAACCGGAGTTGCGTTGGTGTGAATGAGGTAACAGAATACTCTTCCTTAGCTCTCTCTTGGGACCCTCAGAGCAGTTTTAGCAGTTCTGATGGGATGATGTGTGTTTGTGTGTGTTTAGACTTTGCCTTCTGTGTTTTAAACCAGCGTGTTTGTATTTCACAAGATGCATATGGCAAACTGCCATAATACAAAACACTGTGTTCTCTTCTCCATCTCTCACACATCCTCTCTGCCCCTCTGTCTGCAGCCCCCTCCAGTTTCCTGCTCTTCAGTCAGAAGGCCAGCATCAGCAGGATGGTGTTGGGAGAGCAGAGTCCGGACATCATCCTGCCCATCCACGTGCTGAGGAACGTCCGGGCGGTCAGCTACGACCCTCTGGACCGCCTGGTGTACTGGCTGGACGGACGACAGAACATACGCAGGGCCCGGGACGACGGAGCCATGGTAACACTGCCCCGATACTCTGAATGTTCACACAGCAACATGTTTTTCCTTGAGTTGAGATGTTTGCCATGGTTGAAACATACAAACTAACAGTACACAAGTCCGTACCTTCAACAATAATAAAATGTACATATAAGCTGAGGATGAGGCCTACAACAGAATTTCCCTCAGAGCACTAATGGTCATCCTCATCAAACAAAGTGGATAACAGAGGATTCTCCTCACTGAGACCTAAACTAATGGTGGAATAATCTGGTTTTTATCAGTTGGATTTACTGTAAATTATATATCGCATCAAGTGTTGAAACACCCACTTGCAAAATTCTATGATACTTGAGTTTACAGGTTGTATTAATTTAATTAATTGATTTGATAGACAATCAGCAAATAGTCTAATGGTAAATACATACATATTTGTTATGTTAATTATAGACATCTGTTTTCAAACTCTGCCAAAACAAATCTTACACAAAGGCATGGCTGCGGTAATTATTTTACCTTATCTATTTGTTTAAAAATGTTGGCCTGTTATCGTAGTATCACCGACTAAATGAACAGATGGAGACTCATCATACCAGTAGGATAACTGTAGAAGGGTTAATGTCTTCCCCTGGCAAGTTAAACTCCATATATTTAAATAAGTAAATAAATAAATGTTGCTCTGTTAACAACATTCTATAAAGACGTTTAAGTCCTTTCAGAGGCAACTAGACACCGGTCTGAAACGAGGGGTTACGTATGGTAACCCTTGTTATATAAGCACAGGCGGAGCCCTCTACTGGACTCTATGGGTACTACCCCTTGATCATATCATGCAAGCATTCATCCACTGAGACTTCTATAACCGTAGCCGGCCCCGGGGCGGGCCTACCTGAATGCGCGTGCATCTCACCGTATAAAAGGAGGCCTCACCTCCTGACTGTCATCCTACACCTCTCTTCAGCGAGCGGCATAGGACAGACAGTGCCCTGAGTAGAGGGCTCCGCCTGTGCTAATATAACAAGGGTTACCATACGTAACCCTTCGTTATATCTCTCACAGGCGTTTCAGTCTGTATACACACGCTGTCGTCCAACAACAACACTGTTCCATCTCACTGCCCCTGACCGGCTTCCTGGTTAGCAGCCGCTGAGTCCCCAGCCCTGTATGGGCTCACTGCACCACCTCTCCCGAGTCCCTAAGGAGCACGGGGAGAGCGCAAGTGCCCCATGTCCCACACTCAGACACGCTTACCTCGTGAAGAGCGTGTATGGACTATGATGTGGAGGGCTCTCCCCTCCTGCCCTAAAGCAGGGGGAAAGAGTCCTCCAGCCCCTTATGGGCCCAGTGCGCGCCACGGGGAGGGGGTCAGATGCCCACTGACCACAGCCCCCCCCCCCCTCCTCACTTTGGGTACTGCACGTTGTGATGTGCACTCAGGTAAACGGCAAGCAAATCATGTTTTGTCCAAATAACCATAACCCTACACAGCTTCATAGAAAAATGAAGTAGATGCAGTTTAATAGATTATCTTCAGTTTAAGACAGAGCCTGCCCAAACTCACAACGAGTCAGATGTTGAACTTGTGTCCTCGCTGTGTGTCTCCAGTCTTCCATGATCGTGAGCAGCAGTGTTCAGCCAGCGGACAACCAGCTCCATGACCTGAGCCTGGACCCCTACAGCCGCCACATCTACTGGACCTGTGAGACCACCAACACCATCAACGTCCAGAGGATGGACGGCCACACGGTGGGCGTGGTCCTGAAGGATGACACCGACAAACCCCGGGCCATCGTGGTCAACGCTGAGAAAGGGTGAGCTTATATGTGTTGGTTTACAAAAATAAAACAAAATGAATGACGTCTAATGGGGGATTTGAAATGTATTGCTGTGAACTCACTTGTGTGCACCCCCCCTGCAGGTACATGTATTTCACCACAGTGCAGGACCGCTCGGCTAAGATCGAAGGAGCCTCTCTGGACGGTACGGAGAGAGAGTCTCTGTTCACCACCGGACTCATCAGGCCCGTGGCTCTGGCTCTGGACAACAAAATGGGAAAACTGTTCTGGGTCGACGCAGACCTCAAACGCATCGAGAGCAGCGACCTGACAGGTAACCATCAACAGAAAAAATCCAATAAAGTATATAAATATTAGCATGTTAATGCACCGATACAATGACTTAAGTGAAGCACTCCCAGAAATGTTGAATATTTACATAGTATGACAAGCAAGGGACAATACAGTATGTTTACATGTTTACATGTTTTAAATAAGATGAAATATGTAAAAAAGTGAAGTAATATGCAGCGAGAACGTTTTCTTTTGCCACAACTTCCTTCTACTAATTAATATGACGGCACATAGTTACATAGTCCATCCAATGAATCAACAGCATCAATCACTATCAGTTAGATTACAAAAATGCCTTTAAATAAAGTGAAGAAAGATATTTTATATAGTTTGACACTGTTTGTAACTTTAGTAGACTGTCAGCTGTCTGTTACAGTTCAAACACATTTTTTCTGTTATAGGATTTAGATGCAGGTACGAGTGAAATGAAAAGACCACACTCCCATGGTTTATTCATAGACACATGCAGCTACATTGCAAACAAAACTAGAGATTTAGTGAAGCCAGGCCTCACACAGATCGATAGTATGTGTTGAGTTGAGACCAAGGAACACAGAGGCACTGCAGCACTGCATTGCGGGTGAAAAGTATTCTGTTGGTGACACTGTTCATGTAACAAAACCTCTGTATTTATTTACTTGGCTTATCCAACCACAGCCATAGAAATTCAAACAGTATATGTTAGGAATAAGAAATGTCAATACAAAAATGTGAGAGATGTATTTGTGGTTGGAATCATTGGGCCTCATTCAAGAACATGTTTGTGTTGTTCTCTCAACCATCTTACTGTTTCTATGAGGTTTGCTCTCACTGCGTTCTCCCTTGTTGTTAATCACTCAACATGAAGCAGTAGAAAATCACAAAGCAAGTTGAGCAGTGTCAGCAGGGATAGTGGTGTGCAGCTGCTGACTGTTTGTCATCAGAGCAGAGCAGTGGTTTCACATGAAGTTGAAGGGTAAGGCAAAGCTGTCCACTATATGAAAGCTGGTCAAGAGGATGAGATACATATTAGACAAGAGAGAATCACAGCCTACATTGGGGGATGTTTCAATTTCTGTGCAACTGAGGAGGATGCTTCACACATGAAAAATAATATACAAATATATATATATATTCTAATATAATATAATATCTAAAATATGCAAGGAGATATTACAAGATCATTAAAAAAAACCTCAGTTATTTTGCCAGACAGTATGACAGAATGTTGATTTTGCATTGCGCTTGTTTAATGTTTTTATGATTTATTTTGGTATTGTAATTCAATTTCAAATTAATAAACTTTTGACCGTTAAGTCAGGTGAGTCTCATACACGTCACATAATCTAATTTGTTTAAACGATTAGGTCTCCATCGTCAGAGGGCACTGACATGTTTATTTTTCATACGCAAAATGATCCGCTTTGTGCGTAACTTGATCATAATTAAAAAACATGTATAATTTAAAAGATCCTTATCAATAATATTAGTATAGTTAGATAGCAGAAGTATTCTTTTTTATTTAATTGAATTGGTGGAATTATTTTCTTATTCTAATGACATCGTTCCATCTACTCCAGGAGCCAATCGCATCGTCCTGCAGGACTCCAACATCCTGCAGCCGACGGGGGTTACTGTGCTGGGAGACCACCTGTACTGGATCGACCGGCAGCAGCAGATGATCGAGAGGGTGGACAAACTGACCGGAGACGGGCGCACACGCATTCAGGGCCGCATCTCCTACCTGACCTCCATCCATGCTGTGGAGGAGATGGACCCACAGGAGTTTGGTACGGACCCCCATCGCTTACTCACATTTACAAAATAATTGATTGATTGACTGTTTGAGTGGGGCTTTGTTCAGGTTGTGTTTTGGCAGGAAAGTGTGTAATGACTTCTTCCTCTCTCCAGCATCCCATCCATGTTCTCGCGACAACGGCGGCTGTTCTCACATCTGCATCGCTAAGGGAGACGGCACCCCCCGCTGCTCCTGTCCCATGCACCTGGTGTTACTGCAGGACCTGCTGCACTGTGGAGGTGAGACACAAAGACACCCTCAGCATTATGGTGCAGTCCATACCAGGGTCGCTCCACATTCTCTTTCCTTTGGGCTGAAATCATTCTGATGTTGACAGATAAAGTCCCAAGGCTCGCCAGTGTCCAGTCCGGGAGGGGGATAATGTCCTCATTAAGGAGATACTCTTCGTTTACATGAAAATAAACAGCAGCGATGGATAAAAGTCTGTGTAATGAGCAACTATGTGGTCAATTGTAAATGGATCTCATTTATATAGCACTTTTCCAGTCTTTCCGACACTATCTCCTGAAGTATTTGTTTAAGGCCCAACCCAAACTACTTCCTGTCCCCTCTGCCTGTCTGACTGTAGAGGGATCTCTGTTGCCTCCTAATGTGTCCTCTCTCTCTCTGTCAGAGCCCCCCACCTGCTCCACAGAGCAGTTCACCTGCTCCACAGGAGAGATCGACTGCATCCCCATGGCCTGGCGCTGCGACGGCTTCCCAGAGTGTGACGACAGCAGCGACGAGGAGAGCTGCCCCGTCTGCTCCTCCCATCAGTTCCAGTGTGACAAAGGAGGCTGCATCGACGCTCAGAGGCGCTGCAACGGGGAACCTGACTGCGCCGACCACTCTGATGAGCAGGACTGTGAGAGTAGGTTCACACCGGGACACACTGGAACTGAGAATGTTAGCTCAGTAAACGTTCATCCATAAAGTGGTTTTATCACTAATACATATAAATAAAGTTTAGAATCAGCATCAGACACTCTTATAATAACCATAGAATAATTGGGCCCAATGCTAAAAACTTGTTTCCTTACTTTTATAAAAACAGCTGCATATTATTTGTATTGTTTACTTTTTGTTTGAAGTAAGTCCAGTTATACATTTTTGGGAGAGCACTATAAGTACATGTTTATACATTACAATATAGTTAATGAAATGTACAATCCATGTTTTGACACCGTTAGCAATCACTAAGCTAAGGCTGCAGGATTTTGAAAAAAATGACTGATTTATTAATAACGGTAATTGCAATTGCCAACTAATTTCCGGGGGAATGTCTTTTATGTCTTTATTATGATCCCCATTAGCACTAGCATGAGCATTGGCTATTCTTTCTGGGGTCCTCACACACACAAAACATACATAAAGATACTTACAACAAAATTAAAACAAAACAGCTGATCATTTCATGCAATTTGCAGTGCTGTATGAATTGAAAAATAAATTGGTCATCCAATTATCGCCATCCTAAGGCCAAACAAAAAGTAAATACAAATAAGTGTACATAATAATATATGCATTGCATACATAGCCACAGGCACAGTTCAAATGTACTTTATAATACTTAAATACTTTTTTTGCTACCTTTTGAAACGTACTTGAGAAGGTTCCTGAATGATATGGACGGGTAAAGAGTTCCAGCTGACCATGGCTCTGTACATGACTGTTTTCTGTCCCTTATTTGATTTAGATTTGGGTAATACAAACCTTCCTTCTATTGTATGTCGTGTTTGATAGTTGGGCATACTGCGCTATAAACCTTTGTGATAATATATGTGGTGAGTGAGTCACTGTAATATTTCTGACAAAATGTAACTAAATATAAGTTGACCTCTGTCTGACACTTAGCCATTTCAGTGTCTCCAGCATTTCAGGTACTCTGGTTCTGCAGGAGCACTGCAGTGCACATCGTGCTGCCTTATTTTGTGCCACTTGTAGTTTGTTTAAGTCTTTTTCTGCAGCACTAGACCATATAACCAAACAATAATCAAGCTGCGACAGAACCAGAACTTGTCTACTGACATCCATTGGCAATTATTTTTACAATTATTTTTACAAGTGACACACCCCTTCCCATTTTACATACAACATTATCAATAGACCAAGATAATTTATGATCCAGGGTGTTGGAGATGTAAAGGGATAACTGGTCCGCTTTTCAAATCTCCGCGCGTCCCTATCAAGCTGGTTATAATACAGGAAGGAATCCAGAGCTACCAAGTAACCGTTAAACAATAATCTACTTTAATGGTAATATGACAATGCAATACAATCATTACAATACAACATAATATATTACAATTATATTGTAATGTTTAAGGAGTATGCCGGCCCACTCCTGCCCTGGTTCGCGTGCTGCGGAGATCCTTTCGGTCCTGGCAGCATGTGAAGAGAGGCCGAACGCCAGGGATCAACAGGAGATATACCAGAATAAGAAGGAGGGGTTAGGGGTTAGGTCAGCTGGTCATCTTTTCAGGTCATCTCATTGGGAGACGCAAAATATGCTGTATCACAGTGACTCAGCGCTGGCCAGCAGAAAACCAAACAGGCTCACTTTACAACAAAAGGACCATTGTCTTTCTTATCTGTGTGACTCAATTCTCAAGGCCTGCATACCTACACCTCCCCCACAGAGCAATAAAACCCTGTTTACTCCAACCAGCCCAGAATGTTTATAGCCATTTTTAGTCCTTACATTTATGAAAGGATAAAACAGAGAAATCAATATAAAACACAAACACAGGTATTGTTTGAACAGTATTCACTTAACTGCTACTATTGATAACCACCAGAGAAACCCAAAGGACCTCTCTTAATATCTATCTGGAATTTGCAACAAGACTTTCTGCCATTTCAAATGTAACACACTTCTTAAATATCAGATGATAATACTCTTCAATCCCCCTTTGTATCTCTTTCTCCAGAGATAAACTTAAACAAGGCATTTTGAAAGATACCCACTGTCATTCTTTTCTACTGTGTCCGTCCCCCAAACATTGTATAAATCCATCCGAAGCTGGTATTTAGAGTACTTGAAACCTTCATGGAGACAGAACACCACTTTCCATTTTTACTTCTTTACCAGGCTAGTTACATGATGTTGTCTAAATTAAATTCTGTCTCAATACACTACTATGTTTTAGCTTTAACTGTAATATGTTCTTTCTACATTTCAAACCTCAGTTACTCTAATGTCTGTTAAAATATTACAAAATTGTTTCATTATCACAGGTCAACTTCTTCGGTATTCTATTCTGGAATTACATCTCTCACAGTAGCCCCTTGGCCACTGCTTCTGTGTTACCTGTTATAATTCAAATCAATATTTAGAATTCATCAAACAGTATCTTATCCCCAGATATGGAGCAGGTTAATTACATTCAATGCTCAGTTTGAACATCTGGGTTGGGGCGGAAGGTTTCTGTCAATCCTTAAAAGAAACATTTAAATTGTGAATTTTACAGCCATGTTGACATTTATACATTATACTCACTCCCCCCTTTTTACACATGAAATCATGTGTAACAAAAGCCTGTAATGGGAGGGGAACAAAAACTGTCAGGTAATTGGTTAGGGACATAACGAACATTATTTACAATTTGACATCCATTATCATTATTTCCACAGTAAACACTTCAGTGAAAAGAAGTGTTCCTCTCCGTCCTTCAGGCCTAAAAGAAACAGAATCTTCAGATTTTAGTTTTACATTTGCAAACCGCCAACTCATGTGGGAGTAAAATATAATCAAGTAGATTAGAAACGGGTCACATGTGCGGTTTCCCCTTTTTGTGGATTTTTTAGGAAACCTCTCGTTTCCCTTGGAGCTCCAAAATAATATGTTAGTCCAAAAACATGCTTGGTTAGTTATTGTTTTAGAATCATGCAGTTACACTGATCACATGCCGGCATTCATTCACACTCACACTGTCTGGTTGTCATGTCAGGTTTGGTCAGGTACACCCCAGAGTCAGTCATCCACAGTGCCTTGTCAAGTTACACTGTCGGTCAGGGTCAAAGGTCATTTGGTCTCGGTCTTTTGGCCATGTCATGCTCTGCAGAGTCTTTTCAGAGGTATTTCAGTATTCACGATTTCAACTATGATTTTCAAGATGGTTCTAACTTTTCATTGGGACTTCTGCCTCCCACTTTTCCTGAAACTTGGTACAAAACTCACTTTCTTAGAGTACTACTACTACTGCAATTCATTTACACCTAATTAGTATTAAAATGTCTAATGATCTATTTCAGAAACTTGTGTACATAACTATTATCTTGAGTCAAAACATTACTAGGATCTGTGTCGCTCTGCATTTCATAGCTCATTATACTCATTTATCTTTAATTCTGGTCTACTTAAAAAACAATGTTAAACTCTTTAGCAGTGTGTGGAACCTTGGGTGTCCGAACATGCAACAATTACTCCCTCCTTTATCAAGGATTTAAAACAGAAGTCGTTTTATATTTCCATCTTAAAGCCCTCCTATGGTAATAACTATGCTACAATGGTGAAATCAACACTTTAGATTGGAATTTTATATGTGGCTTGGCACCAGCTCTCCCTTTAACATTATTTGTCTTATAGAGTGGTTCCTAAAACTATCCTTTTAATGGTGATCAATATTGTAACAAATGAGATCACTACTTTATTCACACGTGAATAAAAATCTAACATGATGAAAAGATTGAAGAATATGGTTCTACTCTGTCATGTCTTCCCCTTTATCCCTCAGTGTGTTTTAGGATGATTCTCATTCTACTTCAAGTTATTTAAATGTGCGTTTTGTGAATAAGTGTGTTTATGTGTAAACTCACTCATTCCCGTTCTCCTTTTCTCCTCCCCTGGTTTTCTCAAGCCGTGACCCCGGCCTCCTCACTTCTAATCGACCATGCCAACTCCTCTGATTCTGTCTTCTCTTCAGTCCATCAGCTTTTGAATCCATCCGCTGTAACCCTTTGAGGCAGCCCTTGGCCCAGTCACATCTGCAGCCCCCATCATGCCACTGTTGTTGCACTGCTTTGCATTTCATCTCCTCCTTTACAGTCTCTCTGCTGTTTTTATGGAGGGCGGATTCTGCTCTCATGTCTATTGTGCCAAATCTCGTGGCTCAGCTTGGAACTTCATGCCCTGTCTGAGGGACTGATGAGAGTATCTCTCTGTATGTCAGCATGCTGTTTGGTTCTGGATGCCACAGGTGGAGATAGTTTTGGCTGCAGTCTTGTTGTTGTTGTTGTTGTTGTTTCAGCTCTGGTTCTCTGTCTGTTCGATGGAGAAGGAGGAGTCTCCTGTTGGGTTAGGTCTTTTGTCTGCTTGGAGGGTCGGGATCGTAGCCTTTCTAACTCAGAGGGGGAGTCCAGGTCTCGGGACGCATTACCTATAAGAAGTCTAGCACACTGAGGTTAAATAAGTCCAACCCTTTCAACTCTGTCTCTGTCTAATCATACTATCTGTCTTAGTTGTTAAATGCCATCTAAACAACATAATTAATGTCTACTAATGATATTACAAAAACTTACTCTAAAAATTGTTTCATCCATTGCTACATATTCACCCAACACAACTCTGAAATACTTACATGTTACCAGCATCACATATTCCACACACTACGAAAGAACATCTCCATATTTTGGTAATATGACAATGCAATACAATCATTACAATACAACATAATATATTACAATTATATTGTAATGTTTAAGGAGTATGCCGGCCCACTCCTGTCCTGGTTCGCGTGCTGTGGAGATCCTTTCGGTCCTGGCAGCATGTGAAGAGAGGCCGAACGCCAGGGATCAACAGGAGATATACCAGAATAAGAAGGAGGGGTTAGGGGTTAGGTCAGCTGGTCATCTTTTCAGGTCATCTCATTGGGAGACGCAAAATATGCTGTATCACAGTGACTCAGCGCTGGCCAGCAGAAAACCAAACAGGCTCACTTTACAACAAAAGGACCATTGTCTTTCTTATCTGTGTGACTCAATTCTCAAGGCCTGCATACCTACACCTCCCCCACAGAGCAATAAAACCCTGTTTACTCCAACCAGCCCAGAATGTTTATAGCCATTTTTAGTCCTTACATTTATGAAAGGATAAAACAGAGAAATCAATATAAAACACAAACACAGGTATTGTTTGAACAGTATTCACTTAACTGCTACTATTGATAACCACCCGAGAAACCCAAGGGACCTCTCTTAATATCTATCTGGAATTTGCAACAAGACTTTCTGCCATTTCAAATGTAACACACTTCTTAAATATCAGATGATAATACTCTTCAAGGGTTATACCTAGCAATTTTGTCTCCTTGACCTGTTCAACTTGAATATGGTTTAAATGTAATTGCAATTTGGGTTCACCTTTTAACTGATGATTTGATCCTATTATTAAAGATTTTGTTTTTCCAGCATTAAGTACCAACTTATTATTTATGACCCCCTTTGATGTCAATTGTAGATCTTAATTCATAACATTTGTCGACTCTCTTATAGTCGATGCTGTATAATATATTGTTGAGTCATCTGCATACATTACAATTTTAGCTTTTTCTAACACTAATGGTAGGTCATTTGTAAAAATAGAAAATAAAAGTGGTCCCAAACAACTACCCTGAGGTACTCTGCAAGTGACTGTCTTCATCTTTGACAGACTTCCATTAAAAAAGAAATTAATCATCATTCACAGATACATTTAATTAAATGATAAAAAGTGTCATTTTTTGAAGGGGGTCTGTACTAGGGCTGCACGATTTGGAAAAATAATCTAATTGCGATTTTTCTGACAGATATTGCGATTCGATTTGCGATATTTGTTTTTAAGCGACCCAACGGATGTTTATTGTAAAATGCGGCCATATCTCCGGCTAGGAAGGTCGTATCAACATGCTCCCGTCTCTAGCACCCCCGCAGCCCGAGCTACGAGTGAAAGAACTAAACTTACATGAAACTTCCGTTGGGTTGCTTTAAAGTCACGCTTCAGTTTAAGATTCACCCTGTAATAGATGTAAAACATGTGATGGAGCATTACTAACCTGACTCAGATGGTTTGTTTCACCAAACCATCTAGGAAAGCTCCATTGGAAGCCATTTGGAAAAGTATTTCAAAAATACTTGGCAGGTGATTGGATCTATCTGTCTATCACCTTCTATCATGGGCCACTTCTGATTGGTTAACAATGACTGGTACATGTGGAGCACAGCACTTCTGATTGATGTGGATGACTGACACACAAGAAGAACACAACAAAAAACACAAACATTAAAAAAATCGCAGGCTTTGCGATTTGATAATCGCATCATTTAAAATCGTGATTTCGAGTTTGAAATCGATTAATCGTTCAGCCCTAATCTGTACCAAGGATTTTTTATGAAGTCTGTGGAATACCGTTTGTAGGCAGGACTTCCCTACAGCTCCACAATACTTTATTTAGATATTTTCACATTTGCCAAAAATTACTTAATGGAATTTAGATAGCATTATTAAATATTGCGATTCTGATAACATTTAAATTAGCTTGCAGTCCTACTGGATATATAAATGATTAATTATATAACTTTTGATGAAATGGAGCTGGAGGCTTTTCTCCAACATGTCAAAACTGACGTAGATCTCCTGGTGTGTTCCTCCTGCAGCCATCTGCCCTCCTAACCAGTTCCGCTGCGGAGACAACCAGTGCATCACGAAGAAGCAGCAGTGTGACAACTACTCTGACTGCCCCGACGGCTCCGACGAGCTCGCCTGTGGTAAACACATCAACATACTCATACAAAGTTTTATAGTGTTAGCACTCGTGTATTGTTTCTGTCCCTTACTCTGTCTCTTTGGTTCTGCTCCCTGTAGAGTATGTGTCTCCCCCCTCCGTCCCTAACACAGGGCCCAACACCATCGGCCCGGTCATCGCCATCATCCTGCTGGTCTTTGTAATCGGGGGAGCCTATTTTGTCTGCCAGCGGGTGGTGTGTCGACGCTACAAGGGCCCCAGTGGAACTTTCCCTCATGAGTACATCAGTGGGACGCCCCATGTGCCACTCAATTTCATCGCACCCAGCAGCTCGCAGCATGGCACCTTCCAAGGTGAGATCAGAGCCAGAGCAGCAGTGATGGTGTTTTTTATTTTCTACCACACAATGATACAACTTCAGTTCTACCATTGCTCTCAAAACCATCACTAGGCTTCTACGATAGCTTACGATTGAGTGGTGCAGTGATTACAGATGTGTAGACCAGGATGTTAGCTAACAGGAAGTTAGCATTACATAGGGTACATACACAAAAATAAATGGCATTTTTCGATTGCAGAAAAATGATATCTGTGGCAAACACACATTTATGACACTTGCAGGATTTGTTCAGCATGATAATCTCCAGGTGTATCACCACCACTAAACTAAAGGTGGCTAATGTTCATTATTATCGTGCTTATTGTAGCTCCTAATAGAGTGGTGCAGGGATGACGTATTTGTGTAGGCAGACCCGGAAGTAAGCTGCGCATGGGTTCCCTTGACAAAAAAGCAATGGGATTTCTCCATAGGCTTTTGGAAAATAGCTCGAAATAAGGTCTGTAGAAAACGAAGCTGTTTGATAAATGCACGTTTTGTTCAGCCGGATAATATCCACATGTCTATCCTACTTTTATCATTTTCAAAATCATAAATCTAATCGCCAGAAGCAAAATGCTAACGTTATGCTATAAAGGCACTACAGCAGGGTCGCTGCTTCAACGTCACGCCAACTTAAGATCCATATTCAAACATACAGATTCAAAATGGTACGAGTTGAAGTGTTTGTTTGAACAGTTTGCAGGAGGCAGGAACTTGCTTTCAAGCAGAACAGGGCAAACAAACTTAGCGGGAGTGTTTTACGTGTTCGGTGTAGTGACGTACAACGTCCTCGACAACTTCTGTAGTCCTATTCAGCCACTTGGTTACAACCATCGTTTTTCAGACACGTAAACTCTTCATAAATCACAAGTGGGGTCACTGCTGATGTGTTTAATGTCGTAGAACAAAACGTGATCCGTCTCTTAAATGTGTCTCAACCACAGACCTTATTTCCAGCTATTTTCCAAAATGCTATGGAGAAATCCCATTGGCTCTGAGACCAGGGAACCGGAAGTGGTGAAATGCTCACTTCCAGGTTTTAGGACTCGTCACTGCACCACTCTATGACGCCACAACAGTTCAACTCTATCTCACAATTTGATATCTTATAATTCATTCATCGCATTCTATTTCCATGTATATTACTGCTTTATTTTATTGCTATTTAACTATATTTTATTACGGTGTCCTTAAAGAGTTTTTGTTTTATATTAGATTTCTTGTTTTATATTTTATGTATGCACCATGACATCAAGTCAAATTCCTCGTATGTGTGAAACTACCTGGCAATAAACCTGTTTCTGATTTCTGATTCTGATTCAATGGCATGAACTAGAGAAAAATAATCGAAACAAAACAAGGAAACCAATCGGTCATAGCAACAACGAGAATCACACACATAACAACAAGAACAGATGTTGAAAAACCTTTCACCAAACTCATTATCTCTGAAAAGGGCCATTATTGAAATGATAAGGACTATTAGGGCCCCCGAACAAGGCATGAGTCAGCGAGGCACTTTGAAAACAATCTGGAGAAAAAAAGAAAACAAGTTGACACAAAATAAACAGAAAACAAAACCTTAGGATTTGTATTAGTACCCAAGACCTGAGTCAGCAAGGCCCTGTTGAATTCGCTCCCAAAAATAAAAATGTACACAAAATGAAAATAAACACAAAGAAGGAGTTAGAATTAGGCCGAAATGGTAACGATTATTATTCATATTGAAACGTGTGTTTGCAGCTATTTCCTGTGGGAAGTCCATGATGAGTTCAGCCAGCCTGATGGGCAGCAGCAGCAGCGGAGCTCCTCTCTACGACAGGAACCATGTGACCGGAGCCTCCTCCAGCAGCTCCTCCTCCACCAAGGGAGCCTTCTACCCTCAGGTACACACACACACACACACACACACACACACACACACACACACACACACACACCACACACACACACACACACACACACACACACACACACACACAGATGCACACAATAACATATGTTCCTGTCTCTTGCAGATCCTGAACCCTCCTCCGTCCCCGGCCACTGACCGCTCACTCTACAACACAGAGATCTTCTACTCCTCCAACAGTCCTTCCACCACCAGATCGTACAGGTAACACACTCAGTCTCACACACACCGTATCACACTCACCATCAAACATTTGAGGCAGCTGCATCGTGGTTTGACTCGATAACTCCTGCAAATATGAACAACTAATTCCAAACTGGAGATCCCACTTTTTGGTGCTTGGACATGTGAACTATTATCATTGGATGGGAAGGACTTTTACTTGTAACAAAGTATTTTTACAAGTATTTATACTTTCATTTCAGTAAAGGTCTTGAGTACTTCTTCCACCTCTGCTGATTATAATGGGATGGCCCCAAGTCAACAGAGCTGAAACCATGACTCAGCACATTCGATCCATATTGTAGTATGTAGTTTGAGATACACTGAGTGGAGATGAAATGTAATATTAACCCACTCTGTCTCTTCTCATTTCTAGACCCTACCACCCAGTCCGTGGTGCGGCCCCCCCCACCACCCCCTGCAGCACGGACGTCTGTGACAGCGACTACACCCCCCACCACCCGCCGGCCGGGCTGGCGTCCTCAGCGGGCCGCTGGAAGGCCACGGGCCACGGCGCCCACGGCAAACACAACAAGTACTACATGGACCTAAACTCGGACTCGGACCCCTACCCACCGCCCCCCACCCCCCGCTCCCAGTACCTGTCAGCTGAGGAGAGCTGCCCCCCCTCCCCTTCCACTGAGCGCTCCTACTTCCACCTGTGCCCCCCCCCTCCCTCACCCTGCACCGACTCCTCGTGACCCTGCAGCAGCCCAGGAGCCCCCTGAGGAGGCAGGGTGCAGAGAACTGGCCTCCCTTTCCCAGGGAGAGAACTCACGTGCCAACCTCCCTGAGCAGCTCCCCCACTGCCTTTATCAGCTGCTACGGCTCAAGTGCCTTGCTCAAGGTCCCTACGTCCCACATCCGTCATTTCATCATTCCAGTCGTCTTGGAGCCTTCAGGGTGACCTTCATCTGATCGGAGCTCTGAACACTCGCTCAGTCAGGACAGGTTGCAGGTTCAAGGCCCCCCCCCCCCACCCTGATGCAGGAGTTGATGAGAGCAGCTCCCGCTTACATTTTCATTCCATCTTTCACTTCAACAAAATATGAAGCCCTCCATCTGTCCTCACACAGTAACCTGACTCGTGGCCTGTGCTGCTCCTGAAAAGCATTGCACGGCCCCCCTCACAGAGTGCCAGTGTGGAAGCCTTTCCTCCCTTCCCTTGTTGGCAGACCAGCGACAGGACTGTACATAGTGTTAAAATAATATGAACGAAAAATAAATCAGAGAGGAATTATTTTACTATTTTATTCACGCTGGCTGATCCACCGCTCCACACAAAGCAAGGGACACACTGATGAGTGGGTGTATGCATGCTGGATGTGTGTATGAAACATGGACATATGTAGGAAATAGATGATGACTGAATTCATGCAGGGTCATGACCGAAAGAACGAGATCGCGGATACAAGCGGCCGAGATGGGTTTTCTCTGCAGGGTGGCTGGTGTCTCCCTTAGGGATAAGGTGAGGGACTCAGAGTTGAGCCGCTCCTCCTTCGCGTCGAAAGGAGCCAGTTGAGGTGGTTCGGGCACCTAGTTAGGATGCCACCTGGGCGCCTCCCTAGGGAGGTGTTCCAGGCACGTCCAGCTGGGAAGAGACCAAGGGGTAGACCTAGGACCAGGTGGAGGGATTATATCTCTTCGCTGGCCTGGGAGCGCCTTGGGATCCCCCAGTCAGAGCTGGTTGATGTCGCCAGGGAAAAGAAAGTTTGGGGCTCTCTGCTGGAACTGCTACCCCCGCGACCCGACCACGGATAAGCGGGAGAAGATGGATGGATGGATGAATGAATTCATGCGTAGAAGTGTGAGTGAAGGAGTGGATGGATGGAACAGGGCCAAGATCAAAGTGAAATCTTTTGTACATTGTTTGAAATCCCTCACATTTCACATTGTGAATAATTAGTAGTCGAGACAGTCCCCTCTGTGTCCCGTCACGTCACCAACATACCAAATGAATATCAACATGTAAAGCTATTGTACATACTGTGTGTGTAATGAAGTCAATGATTGTGCTTTTCGTCGTGAACCTCTTCCATCACTTTCTCTACCCTTATCGTCCCGTTTACCAAAAGTATGTTTGCTGCTATTGTGTTCATACTATATCAGTTACTATAATTACACAGAGAAGCCCAAAATACCACTCTCATACTGACATTAGAACATGAAGCTATTTTACAGTTAATAATTCTTATAGCGACTTTTGTTATTGGTAATTCTGTTTGTGTGTAGATCAATATGTATGTTTTTTGTGTCGCTCGCCATGTTTGGTTTGAAGGAGTCTTTTTTGGAAATACAAAGAGTACCGGCTGAGACATTTATTCAGAGCTGTCCCAGGAGTCATCGTGATGTCACTCCCACACATCCACACTTGGCCAATCCCAGCGGAGGGTTTAAAAAGGGGATTTAGGAACCGTCAGATGGGCACTTGGTTTGAAGCTCCTGCGGCCTTGCAGCTCATCACCTCCTATATAAAGCTTTCCCACACAAGAAACCAACATGTAAAGGTTTGACTCGTGATCATTACTTTCTGACCCTTAATCTATCTTTGCCACGTCATCCAGCCCTGCCCAATCATTACAGTGAGCTAAGCACAATGTCAGACTTTTGTTTTGTCTGGACACAATAACTCAACTCACTCTGGAAATACTAATCACTGCTGCTGCCATGTCAACTATAGGTTGGAAAACAATGTATATACTTCACTTACTCCAAATAGTAAGGGTGACGCTGGTTAAGGGGGTAAATGGTCCAGTCAGAGTGCCAGTAGGTCAGTAGGTTGATTGCTAGCCCCTGCAGTCGATATGTCGATGTGTCCTTGGGGAAAATACTTAACCCCAAATAACTCCCGTAGAAATGTGTACACTAAAGACGTGTATGTAAGTCACATAAAAGCGTCAGCAAATGACTCTAAATCTAGAATTGTATGTTATTACAATATTATTTCTTGGGACACTTTGAATGTGTGGTTCCACCTGAGGACTGACAGAACCTAATGAGAATCACTGAACCTTTATCTTGTTTTATTTAATCAGCGATTAGGAGAAAAACTGTGTTTTTAAGGGAAATCTAGCACTTATTATTAATATCTTATCAACACAGGACCTAGAAAAGTGGGAAGACATTTAATGCACTTACGATAAAAACATATTAATATTCCCCTGGATATAAATGAAGAAGGAGGGTGTGGGCTGTGTAAACCGACCTTAAGGCAGGTTTGATTATCTGAAGATGGTTTTAGGGGCCATCCTCTAAGCTTTCCTTGATGCCATCTGTGTAACACGGTAATGTGTGATGGGGAGCTACATACCACTCGCTCTGTGAGTGTAGCATGAAGTCACAATTGTGTCTTCTCTGGAGCAGACTGATGTCCAGAAGAGCTAATAAAGCACATACATAGGAGCTTGGAACTGTTGTAACTTGCAGTAAGCTTGTTGCTGTTGGCTGATGTACTTTCTCCTGCAGGGGAATCACAGCTGAAGTCCGGTGACAGATGTCTAAATGTGTCAGCAGGAACTCTTTCATATTAAGGGCTGAAGGCCCCGCCTCAAACCACTGTGTCAGTAAAACTCCTTAAAGCCTGTATTTGTTGTCTCAGTTAAAAATGCTTTGTATAATTTACACTTGTGACATATTTTGTATCAAAAGCATTTTTATATAATAAAGGTTATATTTTAAGGAAGTGTGCTGTCTATGTTAACTTTGAGTTGACCATCTCTTTTTGAGTAAGGCCGGGGCAGGTAAAATCAGTCATGGAGGCAAAGGGAAGCCTTCCCCTGTTTTTTTAAGACCGTAGTTATCGTTTTAATTCAAATAAGTATGGTTAATTATTCTGTGCTGCCATCTCTCCCCTTTTTTCAGAGTATTTTACAAAGAGTGAAAGAGCGCCCCTTAAAATGTTATCGTTGGTGAAACGGTATTGCACTCACTAGACGAATGTCTTGACTTGAACAGGGTTATGTTATCAGCAAGGAACAACATTCTCATGCCGTGTGTGGAGTGGAGTTTTGGAGTTTGAAAAATAAATCCCTTTTACTCAATTACATAGCAACTCCAAATGAAATGGTGTGGCAGGCCAACTCACAGACTACTAGAGCTTCGCACTGAGAGGACAAAGGAGGGATTCTGACTTTTAATTATGAAAATGTTGTCTGCATTGAGTGGCTAGCTTAGCACAAAACAGCTAATTTGCTAACTAACCATCTAATGTTGTGGAGGACCTGAAGACAAGTGGGAAATACTTAGGTATGATTATTGTCTACTTCACCACTATGTAAGACAGGAGAGGTGCCTTCCTCTACATGCAGCTCTGGAGACCACTGCAGCATTATCTAGTTTACTATTTATAGGTAGGCTATGTGTGCTTTTTTAAATTGTATTCTATAAACAACTGACAACATTGATCTCAACAGACACTGGTAAGGAATGGCTGCCATACATGTAGAGATTGAGATTTAAGAAACATTTTTGAGTGCTCCCTTTATTTTTCCGGAACTGTATAGTCTTAGTGAAATACACCCCCCAATTCTCTCTCAATTTGAATGAGTTAAAAGTAGGGTTTAAGACTTTAACGCGTTAATTAAGATTAATTAATTACACAAAAATTAACGCGTTAAAAAAATTAACGCATTTTAATCGCACTTATTTTTGCACCGCGGAACGTTTCTCACTGGATGAGTTTCAGGCGTACCGATTATACTGGAGCACCAACTAACGTTCATGACTTCAGACAACAACAAACCACAGTGAACAACAGTGGGAAATGTTGTTTTAAAAAACGGACGGATGGAAGCGTCGATAAGAGCACGGTTGTGTGCAAATTATGCAAAAAGGAATTCGCATATCACCGCAGCACATCAAGCCTCAAGTATCACCTCAATGCAAAACATATAGCAGCTAGCGTGGAAGCTAGCCTCTTTTATCGCGTTCACACCAAAAAGAGCCGGTACTAAAATTAGTTCATGAGAACCTTTTTACCCACACGAAAGTCCCTGCTAGAGAGCAGAGAGCTGCTAGAGAGCAGGGACTTTCGTACGGCTCTCTTGTGAGAAAAGAGCTATATTTCTGATTGGCTGGGCGGATTGCAAACCACGCCCCGTAAAACTCCCAAAAAGTTTTGTGAAGCCGCCATTTTATTATCCTCGCATTAGCATTATTAGCATTAGCCCAGCGCAGAAACGCAGAGAGACTAACTTATGGCAACACTAAATAAAACATGGGAGCGGTGGAGATGAGGAGGTGTCGGCGTTCTGGCGATTTACTCGGAAGGCTTCAGTAGAAGCTGCTGGGACTCCCAGCAGCTTCTACTGAAGCCAGTCCCTAACTCCGGGGACTTCCGGCCGGGGACTTTGGGCGGCAGTATACGCCGTGAAGTGGTTTGCGGCCTGCCAGTAAACCCAAAGCAGAAGAAGAAGAAGTGACGTCAGCGGCTTAATTTGCCTAATCCACCCCCAGGTTCAAAGAGTTCTCATGAACTAAATTCTCATGAACCTTTGTGGGAAAAGTACTGTGGTGTGAATGCGCCGAATGGTATACTAAAATCCATGTGAAAAAAATTGCTTCTCACTGTTCTCAGGTCAAATATTTATATGTGATTAAAAATGTGATTAAAAATGCGATTAATTTCGATTAATTAATTACAAAGCCTCTAATTAATTAGATTAATTTTTTTTATCGAGTCCCGGCCCTAGTTAAAAGTATATAAGTGGTCATGAACACATCTGTCCATCAGACAGAGGGCTGCTGTGCCTCCTGTCATCATTAATGGACGTCTCTTTAAAATGACCTCTCAGAGGAGAGGAGTTCTCATTTCTCTAACTGCCTGCTGCTTCCACTCCTCTCTCCTCGGTTCCCCTCCTCGGCTCCTCTGCTTGCATCTCCTGTGGGCGGGACTAAGACACGAGGATATGAGTCGAGGAGGGGAGTTAGTGAAATGAGAAAGGGCCACTCACACATGCTCACTCACACATGCTCCACGGCAGCAGGGGGCGCGACTGAGTCCATTGGGAAGGCGGGAGGTTGAGCAGAGCATGGAACAGCCCTTGCCAGTCTGATGGCAGGTGTTTCTAGTAGTGATGGGAATTATGGCTCTTTGAAGGGAGCCGGAGGCTGGGGAAGATATCCAGCATGTGGTTCAACATGTAATACAAGTAAGTATATGTACAACATAGAAAAGTAAATAAAATAAGTTTAATGTGGATTTATTTTCTCTCACCTTGTAATTACACAATCAAACAATCTATAATTTAGCTCTGACCTTCACAAAAACATTTTGTTGAATTGGACACATTTTCCGAAGCTCTATTGTCTGACATGCGATGACTGGGACTGATGGAAGAATCTGAGAGGAATTAACTAGGAGCAGAGAAATCGTCATATTTAAAAGACAGCAGCCCCATAAGAGGCCAACAAGAGTCACAAGGGCGTGTCACTTTGCTGAAGGATAGGGACCAGCTATCCAGGCCAGACTCTAAAGACTTTCCAAGGGGTAAAAATGCTGCTGCCGGAGTACTGACTGGAAGTATTGCTGATATCAAGTCTACCATCCTCTTAAAATACTCTGTCCAACAATATCAGTCTCATGAGAAAGGTGTTTTAACGCTTATTCAAAATAGCAGAGAAACATGCATTATTGTACTCAGGAGGGGACATTGACAGAGGATTACTCACAAAGTACACAGTAAAAGTACTGCATAGTACTTGTGGGAGTAGTTCCACTAGTACCGAGTCCAACAGTGTCCGTTTTATTAAGAACTTGTGGTAAAAAAATATTTGTATCACTCATTGAATATAGCAGGAAAGAAAATGAAGAGCAGCTGATTTGAAAAGACAAACTCGAGAGACGGATGAGTGACCACAGTGCAGAATCGCGGTATAGTTTAAATCTCTTTAGTTACAATGTTGTCCATTTTACCCATAGGCTTATTATATTTAAAGCCCCTAATAACATTAATTGTCTGGGCTCAATGGCTGTTTTCGTTGTGATCGCTAAATATTAATAATATTATCACTATAACACTGACCCAGATCGCTGGATCGCTAGAAACACCGCTGCCATCAGACTGGCAAGGGCTGTTCCATGCTCTGCTCAACCTCCCGCCTTCCCAATGGACTCAGTAGTGCCCCCTGCTGCCGTGGAGCATGTGTGAGTGAGCATGTGTGACTAGAGGCTTCTCAATTCTTACATTTCCCCTCCTCGACTCCCTTCCTCGACTCCCCTCCTCGAGACTTAGTCCCGCCCACAGGAGATGCGAGCGGAGGACCGAGGAGTCGAGGAGGGGAAATTTAAGAATTGAGAAGCCTCTATTGTGTGTGAGCACAACCAGCGCTATTATATGGCTCTGAGCACAACCACGGCGGAATATTACTGCCAAGTGACTTTTGGCAGTAATATTCCTCCGTGAGAAGAAAAAGTGTTGTACTTGTAAAAAAAAGTTGTGTAGTTGTAAAACCTATGCTGAATTTGTCTCTGAAACATGATTTATTAGAAAAATGTCATGTGTTTGTTTGATAGATACGTTTTTTCTTTGCAAAACTAAATGCATTAGTTTGTAGATGGTGTTTTGTATTTGCAAACCACATTGTGTTTGTTAGTGAATCATGAGGCATTTGTTTAGTTTGTTTGTGGAGTTATGGCAGGAAATTAGCTTCATAAGGTTACCTGATATGAGATGAAGTACTTTTTGTGTGTGTGTGTGTGTGTGTGTGTGTGTGTGTGTGTGTGTGTGTGTGTGTGTGTGTGTGTGTGTGTGTGTGTGTGTGTGTGTGTGTGTGTGTGTGTGTGCGCAGAGATGTCGATATCTGGCTGCAAGTCCTTCAGTATTGTGTATATGTTATCATTTATGAGTATATGCTGTCGATTGAAAAACAGACATCGGCTTAATTTCGGTTCAGATAAACAATGGAAAACTGTTAAAGGAATGGTATGCTCATGACACTCATTTAAAAATTGTTATCATCCGATAAAACAGACCAGTCTCTCTTTTTTTTTTTTTAATCCGATGACATTATCAGTGATTTTAAACTGATTAATTACCGAAATAACATCAACACTGTGGGCGGCGCCATTTTACCGGACGTGACGTAAACCATGTGTTTGGTTTCGAGGACACGTTGATGTTCATGTTATTTACTGTAGTTACTCTCTTCAAATATGCCTCATTGTATCGCGAAACATTGCCACAATTCTGATAGGAACAATCCACGGAATGCTCGGTTCCATCTGTTGCCAAAAGGTAAGCGTAGGAAGTACGTTCGGAGGCAGTGGCTAGCGAAATAGTCCCGGTGTTGCAGTATAACGTGAGTCATGACAACTGGCGACATTCTATTATTTTCGTCATAGGAATCCGGGGCGTGTACATTGAGGACCCATTGTTGACTTACCATGTCGATCGCCTCGTTTGTCGTTTACGTTCATCTTTGCTATATCTGCCTTCCTAAGATCACTTTGATGCACATTCAGTACTCGTATGTGAGGTTGTGGGTGAGAGGTGGATATCGTGACGCTTACAGGGAGGTATCGAACATTACAAAGTAGGTGACTGTGTGGATGCCTGTTCAAAATATTGCAAACTTGAATAAATCATTTAAATTATATATTTGTGTCCGACTTTCATTTGTACATCGTTCTTAATGTGATGTATAGTAGCTTTGATAGCTGTCCATACCTTCAGACAGCCTAAA